TTTTCCTCTCCCAATTTGATTAATTTAGAAATTAAAAATGTGCATAAATGCTATTTGTCTTAAATCTTTAAATGTATGATAATGAAATGAATGAAATACTACTGTTTAAAATATTAATCTTCCTATTAAATTTTGTAATGGCAAATTAAACTCTCTGAAGATCCTATTATATTTTACATGCTGACAAAAGTTTAATTTTTAGTATATATTACTTGTAAAGTCCTCAAGAGGATAAAATAAATGGTATAATTCCACTGCATTTTTCATTGTTTCTTTGTATAGATAATCTTCAAATCTAGAATACACAAAAGAGCACATTTGTGCCTCCCCCTACAGAAGCTCATATTTATATTTTGTGTATTTTATTCTTATTTTTGATACTTTAATGAACAAGTTTCCAGTTGAATAAAATCTGTACCTATTATCCTACTTCAGAATAATCTGAATGGAAATACCAAGTGTTACTCTCAACTACTTGCACAAAAACAATTGGAAAATACATTAAATTCTATTATTGTAGGTAATGGGACGTTGACAAAAATAAATACTCCACAAAGGTATTTTAAAAACTTTCCAAAAACTTTTGGAGAATCAGGACTTTAACAAGAGTAAGAAAGGTTTCAAATTTGGAAAATTCAGAACTTTTATATGATAAAGTCTCCTACCTCAAATTTTGCACAGAATCCTATATATGACCACAGAACATGTAACACAAAACTGATAAAGAAAAAATTATACATTTTTATGCTACAAGATGTAGCTTAATATTTTGGAATAAATCCTATTTGCTTTTCTTAAAAAAAAAAAAAAAAAAAAAAAAAAAGCTTCCAGTGATGAGAGACCTAAGGATTTAAGCCATACAACAAAATAGTCAGTGGGAATCTTCTCATTGTTTATAGTCAAATTTAAATTGGATACTAAATTAAGGGGAAAAAGAAAAGGAATTACTACATCTGTACAAATTTATGTGTGTGTGTGCGTGCACATGTGTCTGTGTGTATGTGAGTTTGTGGGTGAGTGATGGATGGGGAATGTGTGTATATATATGAATCCATAACCATACATATATAAACACACAATTATTGAGTATTAGAGGGTTAGCAAGCAGTACAAGTGAAAAGATTCTGCCTTACAGGCAGGTATAGTTCATTATTATTGGGTTTTGCTTTATTATACTATTACATACACTATCAGAAATATTGCTGACAAACTTAATAAGCGAGAAAGGAACATTTTTCTTACTCTGATCAAAGATGCAATAATCAAATCAAAAAACACAAAACCAATAGCCAATCAATGTGAATAAATCTGCCCATTGGCTTAATTCAAGCAAGCCATTCACTGAGCTATGTGATGAATCTGTCAAATTCAATACAGCATTACAGACATACTAGCAACATCAAGTGAACATGCAATGACAAAATGACAATACACCCCACTGCCATGCTTTGACTTGTTCTACCTCATAAATACAAAAGCTGATGACTTTGCTAGTTCCTCTTTCTTCAGACACTGACAGAAATCTAACAAGTCTACTTTTATTTATAGTTTTGAAAATCTTACACAAAAGCTGAATAAAAGTTGCACTACCATTTTGTTGACATCCAATTTAGTATTTGTACACCATTATAATTACTTTCACAAGCATTCTCACTTTAAAGTGTTGGGAAGCAATGCTCCTGAATGATGAAGGACATCTGCAGACGAAGAGGCCCTTTTTTATCAGTTGGAAAAATTTCAGAAACTCTTTAAATATTAGAAAGTTAATAATTATTTTTTGATCCACTTCATCACAGATCTTCATCTCTTTAAGTGCAATTCAGTATGATGAGAGATCAAAGCACAAAAATCCAATTTAAAATTTTTAAAGCTGTATTTTGTGATTATATTGCTTCACCAATAAAACAAGCTGCACTTTTTTATTATAAGTTTGGTTATTATTTTCTTTTACAATCCTAAGAAGTGGAGAAATCTGTATGTCCTACCTCAACGGTGAATTTGTTTTTAGAATACGTATACTTTGGTGCCTTTCTTACTAAACTTATTTGGCTTGGCTTTGATTTATTTCATGAGATTTCCTTTGCCAGCAGACTCACCCTTATTAATCTGTTCTTCCCCTTTTTCCAGCAATACTTCCAACCATGACAAACAAGGATACCATTGCATTTCTTAAAAATCAAGCTCTGTTACAGTGATCACTGTACATTGATTCACTGTAGTCAGTGTCTCCATTTTTGAATCCCGAATATTTCTGTTAACCTTCATTTTTAATTTATCACAATGTCTCCAATTCAAAGACTTCTCCTTTCCAACTCCTGATTTAAGAAGCATGTTAAATATGGGACACTGCCATTCTCTGTGTATATAACATGCAGTCAAAATGGTTTTTTTTTTTTTTTTTTTTTTTTTTTTTTTTTTGTTGTTGTTGTTGTTGTTGTTGTTGTTGTTTTCTTTTAATATAAAGAAGGATTTTCATGATATATCACTGCTTTAATACTCATTGGTTGCCACTTGATTTTCCTGGGCATTCTTTAAATGTAAACATTAAGTATATTCTATTTGAAATTAAATAATTAGGAGCTTAAAGTAGCACTAAAAAGGATCAGTGTATAGATATGGAGTCTTCAGTATTGTCAGATGACAGTGAGTTACTATTACACTGAGAAGAAGAAAAATAAGCAGTACTGAACTGTATTTCTTAATTTTAGCAATTGCTGTATAAACGACTGAATTCATTAAAAATGAATAAAAAGGTAGTAAAATTAACCAAACTGATTGTGAGTAATCAGGGGTATCCATGTTTGTATATAGTTTCACATATGCAGGTTGTTATGTTTGATTCTCTTTGGTTGTTTTAGGATTCTCCCGTAAAGAAGTTCAATTACAGTATTTGTAATTAACACAAGAAACCACATTCATTTGGGGAAAGCAGGTCAAAGATGATGGGTAACCTCATTTAAAAAGAGAAGTTAAATTAAAAAAAAGATCAATAATTCATTTAAGATATTTAAAATTATGCAACAGTCAGGTTATTACAATTCTAATTATACACAAAATATATCTGAAAATTAAGCGTATTTTGAAAAAAAAGGAATTAAGCTGCATTACTACTGACACCATCACAAGCTTTCTTTACAACATTTAGGGACACTATCTTTTCCTTAAACAATTTTATTTTCAGCAGAACTCCTAGTGAGGTTGACTTTCTACCCATAGCAGAACATGCGACAATCTGGTTTTTTACCTTACAGCATTTGGTTTATGAGAAGGTACCTGATTTGTAATTAAGGCATTTAAAAGTCATTTTGATATTGCTCTGTTTCACTATATAACATACAGATTTTTCATAAATTCATTTTTCTGTTGAAATAATCAACCTATAAGATGATTCTGGGAAATCTGAATGATATCTAGCAAAAAATGACTAACCATGGGGGGCTATTTTTAATGTTGTTCTTCCAACTTAGTAAGTTTTTATGATTAGGAATTCTTTTGCATTATAAGTTCAGAGAAAAATTCTAGAGCTGCAATATGCTAACTCACCTTTGTGGAAATGAAATGAAACTACTGAATAGCACTTCACCCTGTATGTTACCCTAAGTAGAAATAGTAGACTGCAAACATAGTGCAAACAGCAGTACCTAGTCAATATTACTGATTCAAAAATAATAGAAAGTAACTTGCTTACCTGTCTGACACAGCATGCCTCAGCCACACATGCAAATTATTTTAATCACATAACTTTAAAAAATACGTCTTCATTATCCAGAATAAGCGTTTTAAAGGCAAATATGCATGCATAGCATTGTAACATTCATACCATGGTATTTTATTCTAAAAATACAGAATCCATGAACAGCACTTCAATCTAAGAAACAGTTCACTGAAATTTCTTAATCTGTTGATTTCTTTAAGAAACAGAAACACTTAAAAGCAATGTTTAATTTAGCATCAGAAGTAATTTTTCAATTCAAGACTTAAGAAATCATCTGCATGATTACAAGGGAAAATTTTCATAAATGAGGAACTGAGAACAGTGACCTTACGTTCCACTGTTGTTGTGAAGCAAAATATATGCATGTATTTGTCTTTCACAACATGCATCTTGCCTTCATGATTGTACACTCTTCAAAGACATGAAAACAGTTGTAAAGATTCTGTCTAGGGTACAATTTCTGAAGAACCAGTGGAATATTCCTTCTTTTCAGTACTAAGTAATGTCCAGACACACTGCAAAGACTGATGCATGTTTAATTTTATGCAATCTGACAAAATCCTGTTCTATTAGAAATTTGCAATTTAGACACCAACATGAAATGGGCCTTGATTTTCATCTTGTGAGAAGATGAGTTAATTTATACGACATCACTTTTGCTTTATGGATATTACGCCTCTATATGTTTTTCTTACGCATGTTTTAATGATCTGTTAGTTCGGGTATTCCTCTCATCAACGTGGCTTACATTTTGAAGACAAAAGCATACTGGAGAAGAAGCATAACTATTTTTTTTCCCACTATTTCAAAAAATCACATGCTTGGAAAGAAAGCAAATGGAAAAAATATTTTTTTTTTTTTGCTTGGGATAGTTCAGGCTTAGATGCAGTTCATTCCCAATTTCCACTAACTGAAATAACATCAATAAGAACTGAGGGCACAGCTTCTAAATCAAATGAAATAACACTCCTAAGACAAATTATGATCTTTAGTAGCAGATCGTCATGAAGCTATACGTATATTTATCTAAATTGTACAAGGGTCACAGACATTAACTGGATGATGTTCAGCTTGGGAATGTGCACATCTCATGCCTAATTCTCAATTAAGGCCTAAAACCTCTCAATTTATGGCTATTCATGGATTATAATAAAACAGCCTGTTTTGGATATCACAATTATCTGCAGAGCAACAAGACAGTTATGAGACTTCAACAAGGCAAATTTATAGAATCATCTTTGACTTCCACTGGTCAGATATTTATTAGCAATAAATGAGATCTTACCTGTCACTGTAGGCAGCTGCAGTGGCAGTGGCAGGCTGGGCATACCGGTAGGCAGCATAACCACCCTGAAACACAAACTCAAATTCTAACTGGATTGCTATTGTAACTTAAATGATATTTTGCAAAATCTAGCAACAACGGATTGGAATATTACTGTCATGCTGCAAGTTCAGTTAAAGGGTTAAATACATTTGGCCTATTTGAGTGAATTGTTAAGCAAAATTTATCATCACCACAAAAATGTTAACATTTGTTCCAGAGATGTGAAGAAAGCAATGAACTGTATTCAACAGCACAGTTTTTTAAAACACAATATTGTATTCTTCCGCAAGTTTTCAAGTAGCAATTGTTCTTATGACTGCAGTATGTGCATATTAACAAAGCCGTGTTGAACCCAAACGAAAAACTATACCAATAATTCTTTTTTTTTTTTTTTTTGGAATCTGTGTGTGTATAAAATATGATCTATCATACCTGGTTGATTAAATCTATGAATTAGTGCACTCAATTAACACTCAATGTTATACAGGTTTCCAATTTATACTTTTAATTATAATGAAGAAGGAAAATTCTCTTCTTCCCTGAATTAACATTCAGTTGTATGTAACAGTAATTGCAGCTGTTCAATTAAGCAAACAGGACAAACAAACACACATTTGAAAGGAATTGTGTGCAGTGATGCATTGATTATCAAACTGTGAAAACAGCAGAGCTTCCTGTTCAATGGACCACAGTGTTATATCAACCATTTCAAAATGATCTCAGCATGCCAATTAACAAACAGAGGCCAGTCTTCACAGACAACACAAACATGATTTAAGTTCCAATTAGAATTCACCACTCCATAATCCTCTGGGACATGGGACTCAGCATTTCCTCTCCCACCTTTCCCCCCACCTTAACAAAGAGTTGAGAAAGAAAGCATTAGGTCACTCAGCTTTGAAGAAAATTTCTTCCTTTCCTAAGGGTGAGCCCTTTCAACGGATGGATTTTATTTTCGAAGACTGCATTCATACAAGACAATGTGCTGATCTGTAAAGCACGTAAGACTAGTAGAACAGGCTACTCTGTCAACCCTTACCATAAAAGTAGTAGAATTTCACTGGGGATACTTCCATGAGTTTTCGATTTTGGTTTTGCAAATGAAAATCATTAGAAATTTCAGCCTTTGAATTATCAACACAACAGAGGAACATTCTTTCTGTCTTTTTCAAATGCTCACATAAGAAATAGCACATTTATCTCCTCACTACTGGTCAGCTCCTTGTCAGAAGCAGTCATGTCACACAACCACTAGAAAAAGACAGGTGCTTTCATAATACTATATATGCTGTGCCTTTTGTAGAAACTGCTTCACTGTGCAAGCAAAGAAGCACTGAGAAGAAATACTTTCTCATTTTAGATCATTTGATTTTTATAAACCAGTAAGAGGCTATTGCTGTCAAAAAATGCATAATAGGCACATATTGCTTGCAGGCACGTGCATGCAGGCAATCAGATGTCAAGCAATATCACTGAGTGCAAACTGAACCAGCAAACAGTGAGGATGAGCACTTGGTCTGGGCTGTTCTACAAGGAGAAATGTGAGAGATTACACAAATTCACTTCTTCTCTCCTCCAGTTCTTTTCAGAGCTAAAATGAGTGTTGTTTTTGGTGGTGGGGGTTTTGCCATGGCTTTTTTCTCTTTGTTTGTTTGTTTGGAGTGAGGGCTTATGTAAAGGAGTTCAAATGGGAAAAAAATAAGAAGATATTAAACTTGATAAGCTTGTTTTCATTGTCCTCTGAAAATGTGTTGTAGGCTACAAGTTGTTTTATGTTTCCGTTAGACACACGCACAACTCCTTTGATTGTCCTAGTAAGTGCATTCCTAAAAACCTCCATTTATATGCAAGAGGTCTCTTCATTTCAATCCAGCTGCTCACATATTGATTTCCCACCCTGGTACAGTATTGAAAATGGGTCACCACCAGAAGTATTAATGTTTCAGTGTTCTTAATCAGACTAAAATGAGGCAGGCTGTTCATGCATCAGCTGGTCTTAAACCTACAGATGGCAGGCTCTGTAAGAATTTTATTTCTTTCCTTTGAGTACCACTCAAAATTGGTCAGTTTGTGAAGACTGATCATTTCTTGTTCAAAATCTGCTTTCCCTACACATGAATTACATTCCTTCAGTGCCTGCATTTTGATTTGCTTTCATCAAAGAAATGCTGCTGAACAATGAAGGTCAACCCTGAATTTTATTAAACTGCCATGGATTGAACAATCACAATTAAATTTGTGAATGTTCTGGAAAAAAAGGAGTCTAAGCAATAAAAAGATACCTACATTATAAAATTTGTCTGTTTTCTTTTTTTTTTTGAGTTATAAATTGCAGGATAGATTTGAATATCAATGAGATCGTAATTCTCTACAAGTCTAAGTCACAATTTCTTATTTGTAACATAAGCTATTAATGATCTGCTATTAAGGGGGTGTAATGTTCCATTTGCAAGTCTGCAGACGACAAATACTGGGAGGAATGGCTGATAGGCCAGAAGGTCGTGCTGGTTCCCAGAGGCATCTGAGCAAGTTAGTATAAATGAGTTAGCAGGAGCCTCATGAAGGTCAGCAAGTGGAAGTGCAGAGTTCCACCCAGAGAAAAACCACCCCACACCAGGACATGGCTGGGGGCACCCAGCTAGAAAGCTGCTTTGTAGCAAAGGTCCTGGGGGTCCAGGCAGACATCAATTTCACCATGAACAACATGTCCTTGCTGCTTAAGGTTAATGGTAACCTGAGCTGGATTAGAAGGAACACTGCTAAGAGATCAAGGGAGATAATACTTTCTAGAACTGGTGATGCCTCACCAGTCCTCTCCAGTACAAAAGTGACATGTAAACACTGGACAGAGTCCAAACAAGGGGCACAAAGATGATAAAGGGGCTGAGGGACTTCTATGAGAAAGAAGCTTAGAGACCTGGGGCTGTTTAGCCTGGAGAAGAGAAGGCTCAGGGAGATCTTACTAACATGGATAAACCCCTAAAGGAGAGTGCACGCAGGACAGAACCAGCAATGCCTCATACCAACACAAGAGACAGTGAGCACAGAATCTAACAAAGGAGGTTCAATCTGAACACCGGGAAGCATTTTTTCAGTGAGTGACTGAGCAGTGGAATAATATCGACCTCCGGCCGTCTCTTCCAACCTCAAACTTTTATCCTCGAATACAAAATTAAATACAAAAACATTGTTAGGGAAATAATTTTACAGCTATTCTGAAGCTTTGGTTTGGTACAATTACTATTTTACTTCAGTTACATCAGATCACAGAATTATAGAAGCATAAAATCAGAGAATAGCTTGAATTGGAAGGGGCTTTGAAGGCCATCCAGTTCCAACCCCTGCTGTATGCTGGTTACCAGCTACCAGATCAGGCTGCCCAGGGCCCCATCCAGACTGGTCTTGAACACCTCCAGGGAAGAGGTATCCACAGTTTCTCAGGGCAGGCTGTGCCAGCATCTCATCGCTCTCTGAATAAAAGATTTCCTCATAATATCTAATGTAATTCTGCTCGCTTTCATTTTAAAACCATTCCCCCTTGTCAGATCCTACATTTTAGAATTATTTAGGTTTTAGTTTCCCTCAGCAAGTAAATAAAGTATCTGACTTATGAATTCTTAGTTAGTAAACTGAATTTATATTCAGCTAAAACTATTAAAAATGTCTACTGCCTTATCTACACTCCTGTATTTTCTACTTCCAAAGGAATGATACCACAATGCTAGTACAGCTTAAGTTGCCTGAAAAAGTTAAGTACATATTGAAGTCAAAATACTTGCAGTCCAAATATACACATGTATGTCACTGGCATAATATAATGAATGGAACACTTATAATGAATGTTGTACTAAATAGGACGTGAATACATACAATACAACTGGAAATTAAAGGCAGTTGGTAGATTATTCCTACCATTTCTACACACAGAATCCATATTCTCACTGAATAACTTGAGGATTAGTATGATTTCACAATAGCCTATATTTAGCCTACTGTGTATTTTCCATCAGTCAGCACGTCATACCTGTAGTAACTTATTGCCATACACAGGCTCTTGCAATAATGCTCTATAAAGAAACAGAAATGCAATGATTGCAATGAGTAAAGGAAGGATGGGCGTAGGGATGGAAAAAAAGATGCAAGCATGGAATTTGGAGAAGTTCCCAAAACTACTTATTAAATAGTTTCCTTTCAGTGTTCCATACATCTCCACGGCTCAAACAAATTGAAAGAATTGTGGGATCGGTGCAAGATCACTCGTCAGTTGTTACAGAGAAATCCTCATCAGTTTTAGCTGCATTTGCAGAAATTTTGGATAAAATAAAATGAAAATGAATGTAAAATCAAATACATCCAAATTTTTAAATAAAATCTGTATGTGTATTGAGTATAATTTCCACAAAAATAAGTTACACATTCATAATTTACAATACCATGTATATGTGTGCACTTTCTCCTGAAATAATGAAATTTTTATCTTGATCTCAGATGGACTGACAGTGTTATCTGTGAACACATCTAGATTATATGACTTAAAGTGATGCCTATTTTCCATTATTTTTTTCTATTAATAACAGTTAATATTCTATATGAATGTTGAGAATATTTTTCCTCAGTGTTTACTTCCTATACGTCCTTTCACTCCAAGTTCTTGAGATATTTTGCGTACATATTTCTATTTTTAGGCATTTGTGGTAATCCCAGAGGTATCCGTTCCCTCAGATAAATTATTGGTTATGTACACAAATTAACAGCACAAAATGAATTCTAATCCAGTACAGTAGTCAGGAATGAGCCTGCATTTTTTCAAAATAGTGTTTAAATCACAAATAAAGATCAGGGAGATAAAGACATTGCATCATTAGCTCTCAGAACTTTCAAAAAGGGAATCATGGAGTGTTCTTGTGGACAGAGCATTAGGAGGAGCCACACACCTTGGGACCCTGTTTGCCCACAAAAAAGACATTGCTCCATTCATTTTATTTCTGTGTTACATCTCTTCATTTTAAAAGCACACAAAAAAATCTTTTCTACTTAAAAGAAAAGACCTTGGTACTAACTACATATCTCTGCTTTTCACATCAGAACAGTGTCTTTCAGGATATCAGAGGGCACCCATCCAGCAGGAAGGGAATATTGCTTAGATAATTGATACAGTTTAATGAATGTGCCTGCTTTCTGCTTGGAAAGTAGACAGGTGCTCCATCCTCAATACCATCCTCTGCATTTGAGCTGGAGGAGATGGTGTTAGCTGTTGAAAATATCCTTCCAAACCCTTGCTCAGAAAGTACGCCTTATCTCAATCATTAACTCAGAAAAAATATCTTTCTATGTAGGTATGAGTTATCTTGGACCCTTACCAGCTTCAGTATCAGAGGTCCAGAATCCTTAGAAAAAGTTAAAAAATCATACAGTGAGCCATGAGACTGACTAATATACACAATTGAATCACACTACCACATCTGAAACTGGTGATGAGAATTTGAAGCTTGCGCTGTTTCTTAGCCTCTCCACATTTTAGTTGTTTATCAAAGACTGACATGTTCTGAAAACGTTCTTCATGCCAACAGTAAGAAAAAGGAATTGCAACAAAGCAATAATGGAGCACTGTCATTTTAACTGTGCATTTCTTCATCTGTTACTATTTTTGTTTCATTTTGTGGAGCGTATTTTCTTATTTTTTCAGGTGTCAATCTTCATCTAGGAACTTCTGTATTTGCTGGCAGGCAACCTTAATTCTTTTTTAATGACTTTTTCTTTTAGTGAATCAATACTTAATTTTAAAAGGTCTTCCTTTCTTCCTAATCATCTCCTTTATTTTCCTACTTAAAGGCACATTTAGAAAGGAATTCAATAGCTCAGCTATTTCAGAGACATTATTACATTTCATATCGCACCGTACGAAATATAGAATATATTGTATTACAAACAGTCATGGGCCTGGATTTTCATTTTTAGACTGTATTTTCCACCTATTTTTATATTGCTATTCTCTTCTATGCCTCTGGTTAGTATTAAGCAACTCTGGTTATTTTCTGTTCTTGTTTCACCCTGTTGTTTTGACACAGTCAGTTTAATTCCCAGCTTCCCTTGCACAAAGGCTAGCCACCAAAGGCTACCTTGGCACAGTCCATACCACTGTTGTTAATCAGTGTAATCACATCAGAATGAAATCTGCTTTGATATATTTGTTCATGAATATTGTTTATTATAACTTTCAGCAGTGTTCCTTTGATTCTGTTTTCTGTATCGTTTCAATGGCTCCTTTCTCTCCAATTTACTATTACAACCTATAAATTTAAAATTTTATTTCTCTTTTTTTTTCCCACAAAGCACTTGTTCTTTCCCAAAGCTTCATCTCAATAATTAAAATCAAAAGCTGAGTAAAATTATATCATAGCCAATTGGGATTTAATAAATAACTTAGTCTGCTGCAAACTGATACACTGAGAACTAATACACTTCATAATAAATTTTCTTTCAGCTTATACTAGCTCTCTCCTCCTTTCACCATCAAAATGGTTTGGATGGAAGAAAGAAAAATGTGAGGAAAAATGAATTATGAACTAAGAAGCCATGAACGTTATAAAATAATAGATTTCCACAAGAATGTTTCAATTATATGAACTTCTGTAATCATTCTGCTGCAGTAAAAGAACTAGGAAATGCACTGAGAGGTACAAAGCTGCAACTGAGTCTAAACCGGTGTAGCAGCATAGCTATCACATTTTTAATTTACTTGAGTAGTCAAAACAACAAGACTGAAACTACACTGGAAATCAGTAATTTTTCCAGTATCTTCCTCATTGAAATTTCTTTCTGCTTGGAAGAAAAATGTTCAAGACTATGAGAGGATGAAGGACCCCTTAAAATGAAACCATTTTGTCAAGCACCGAAAGAGACACCTTGCTTTGCAGCAACAGTGGTTTCCAAAACCATGAACTGTTACATAAACATTTAACTCCAAACTATACTATCAACATTAAGCAATACTGAGGTGGACTTCTTGATGCCTTTTAGATTTTCACATTGGGAAACTGGGCAAAATGGATGTCACAGTTTGCAGAAATATGAAAACTGGAAATCAGACTTGATAAAAATTTAACACTGTGTATTCTATATAGCTCAAAAATTCAATAGCAATGCATTTAGGTGAGACTTAAGCAGCTTACTAGAGTAAGCTTTTGACAAATAAGTTATTCTCATGTGTCACTAACAATATGTTACAGATAGCATCTCTAAATGCACATAGAATTTTAAACTTAAACTGTTAATTTATTTTTAAAATATTTTTCAACTTCGCAAATTAATCATCAGATGGGTGTCAGCTTTTTATCAAGCCAAAAAACCAAAACCTACTTCTTCCATAAGTTCAAATTGTTTTCCTTTCATATAAAATGTATTCAAAAATACGCTGTTCCTTTAGAAATAGCTCTAAAAGATTGCTGGTAATAAAGACAAGGAATGTTTCCTAGCATTACCTAGTGAATTCTTAATGTTCAAACCAATTTCACCTCATCCATCTCTTTGTAACTCAATAGAGACAGAAAAACATAAGCACAATTAGGATATAGCAAGCTGTCTGTTGAAATAAAGATACCTGGACCAGTCTGCTATTGCAAAAATAATAACAGATGTGAAAGATTACCTTATTACTGGTAACGTATTTCATAGCCAAGCATTTTTACAAAACTGTAAACACAGGGTGCAAAAATTATTTTAGAAGCCTGAAATTCAACCTCAGTCTTAAGCCTCTTATATGCTCAGATGTAAGTAGCCTCTCTTTATATATTCAAGGTAAAAAACTTGAATATTAGTAAGAAAAGAAGTTCAAAAATATCCTTTAAAATGAAATTGGTGACCAATGAGCTATATACATTTCAATGAGAAGCTGGTAATTACTATCCAAGGCTATCAGTACTAACTAACAAAAATAAGCACTTCATACAACTTGAGCAATCTTTACCTATTTCATTTAAATTGAAATATGTGGATTTTAAAAGAGCAGTCTACAGAAGTCTATTCAAATGACAAAATACAGAGACACATCTTAAACTTACGGTGTAATTAAGCTCTACCATGACACATCCCAAATGTTGCTGAGATTTGAGAAAATTTACTTGAGTGTATACCTCTCCATACTGCATTTTCATACCTCAAGTATCATTAATGCTTAACTAGCCTTGTTTGAAAAAGAAAAACAAAAACAAAAACAAAAGAACAACAACAACAACAAAACACAAAAAAGCCAAAATATTTTGGGGGTTGGCAGAAGAATGTTTCTGCTTTATTTTCAACTTCTCTTAATACTTTAATTTTGAAGGGAGACACTCCTCCACAAACAACCATACATGCACGCACATATTTTTCACATCTTTTTGCATTTATTCAACATTTGATTGAAGAGTTAATTCAGCTCCACTGAACAATGATAGATGTAATGAACAGAAAGGTCTTCCAATGTGAGAGATATTCTTCTCAATTCCTTCTGACAGGCAAGGGATGGTAAATAGACAAAACAGAGTCAAGCTAGGCAGCAAACTTGTAAAAAGAATGACTCTGGTAATGTACAAGGACAGCATGCACATCAATGAATACTTACATAAATGTCTGCACCATAAAATCCATCCTGGTATACAACACTGCAAGGATGCACACACAAAGAAAAACATCCATATTAGTGCATTTCCACATGCAAATGCCACCAACCCCTGCACAGCTGAGGTTAGTCTTGTCACAAGAACAGAGGGAGGGGGGAAGGAAGGCACTCTTCACATTGGTTAAGGAGGTTGGTAGCAATTATCAGAAGTGGAACTGTACTGAATTTTTTTTTTTTTTTAAAAAAGTATGCCAAATGCTTAGTCAAAAAGAGGTGAAACATGAAGCATGGCAGAATTGGAAAACACTTCTGGAAAGCTGTTTTTTCTTTTTTGAAGGAAAAAATCTGAAAAATTGGCAGCATTTTTTCTACAGAAATTTTCACAGGTCCAATTCTGTGACCTGTTTTAATTCATTTAGAAAATGTTATTTCCTGAAATAATACTTTCTTGTCCTATAATTGTCAGCCCTCTAAAACAAAGTGGTATTCGTCACGACTTAGATGGAGGAAAACACTAAAAATAGGTTATAGGGTGAGGAAAATGTGTGAAATAATTGTACTGATGGAATTCTATACCCACTGCTTCAAATCTCAATAACTAATGCACACACAGATGAGAGTATTCATAGGTACTGCTTTGATAGACATTTATGATAATGACAACAGGTCTCGTTAAAATGGATTAACTCTATTCTTATGAGAAAAGTATTAGCCTTTCTCACTGTCATTTTACCACCTTGGCAAACATGCCCACAGTTGTGAGCTACCGTGAAGTTGTAGTTGGATACATCACTATTTCTTGTCTGAAAAAATGTAGAATTGTGATGCAATTAAAGACTGCTTCATTTCAGCTTAGACAAATTCTTATTTTAATTAGCTCAAATTTTAGATTCTAACCCTCCAGGAGAAATGATAGAATACGACAAGGATGGTTTAAATCATTACACAAAATAAAATTGGAAATATGTAACATCAACACTAATTACACACATTGTAGAAGTCCGGCAATTTTGTTTTGTTTTGCAGATCTACAACTTAAAACTTCTGTATTTCTAATACAGAATCAGTCCAAGCAGTCTCAATAACTAAATATGAGAGCACTTAATAGGTTATTTGCAACAAAATTCTCAGTTTGAAATATTAGTTTCTGGAGTAATAGTTATGAAGTTGCTAGCCTAAGCTGTTCTGCAATTTCTAAAAGAATTTTCATGTCAGAAATATAATTGAACAACTGAGGTCAGTGACCAAAAGCCACCGGCATGAACTAGTGACTAAGTCAGATTCACTTGAGAAAAGAAAAAATATGCATACATGTACATAAACTGAATTACACTTCATCAATGATAAATTTACAGTGTCATAATGTATGAAAGCCTGGCTCTACTTATGTCAGAGTGGCTGGCATTCACTTTGGTTAAGTTCAGATATTTACTTATGTATTTTTCCATTTATTTGGTCTGCAGATTAGAATGTGTCATATATGGCCTACACAATTTGTTAACAGAAAAAATATTTTTTATCTTGCAGTGTACCTACATTTTGGTTTTTATATTCTAATTCTTTTAAAATATTACATGTTTGTATAAGACCTATTTGCGTGTAAGTACAACATTCCACATGACTGCAAGATAGAATTACACAATCATGAATACACATACAAATCATATACAAACAATGCAAAGGTTAATGCAGGCAGAGGCCATTTTCAGGAATTTCATATAGGAAGTCTGTTTTTCAAATGATATGCATTTGAAAAGAAAAAAAAAAGCATATTTATTCCATAGACAAGGACTCCATTTTCTAAATAATCTCTGGACAAGATTACACATTCCTTCATATAAGAGGCCAAACACAGTCTCCACATCCAAAAAGATGCCACATAGATCAGTGCTGTTGTACAGTGTGTGAAATTATTTAAGGCTTAATGTAACAAGTCTAAAATTATATATTTCTGTGTTCAATAAACAACTCAAAGCAAGATGTTATTTACAATAACACAGCACGAGAGCTAAACAAAATTAAGATAAAGCTCTGTTTTTTTTTTTTTGTTTTTGTTTTAAATAATGTGGTTTAAAAATAAACAACAATCAAACAGTAGTGGTTATGCTCAGAACTTTTTGCAAGAGGTTACTGAAAAAGTGAATCAAAAAATGTATCATCCTAAAAGAGCATCCAGGTCATGCAGTGTTCCAGAGAAAAATCATTCTTTCTTATTGAAGTTCTGATGTTTCCCAAGATGACCACTGAAACACTGATAATAAATCAGTGCACAACAGGAAGACTGAAGTCCTATTTTATTTCTAACAATAAAATAAAATAAAATAAAATAAAATAAAATAAAATAAAATAAAATAAAATAAAATAAAATAAAAATAAAAATAAAATAGAAACAAACTGTTTTCCTACTTACTAATTCTGGAGATCAGCCTCTAGAATTGTCAGAGGCAGTCCAAAATAAATGCTTCAGAACCAAATGCCAGAAATAATTATCTCCATTATCATTAAATTCTGTAAGTACAACTACAGAAATGCTGAACAAATGCAAAGTTCTGCTGCAACTCTTGAGAGACCCCAGAGGAGCAGCACATGCCAGATCAGGTCAGTAAGTTCTAAGGGAAGCTGCAGCTCATGGAGAGCTCACACTGAAGCAGCAGGAAATCCCCTCAGTGGAGAGAAAATCTTACAAACTGGTTGCAATCCCCCATTTCCCAGCCGCCTACACCCTTCCACTTGAGTAGGAGACGGAGGAGCATGGAATGAAGGAGTTTAATTGAGACTACAAAAAGCGAGATACAGACAATTAAGTGTTATAATTTTTGTCTTTGGTTCTCACCACCAACCCTATTTTATTTAGTAATCAATTAAATTAGTTTCCTGAAGTCCAGTCTGCATTGACCATGAAGGTAATTAGCAAGTGATCTCCCTGTCCTTATCTCAATCCATGAGCTCCATCTCATTTTCTCCCTGCATTATGCTGAGGAGTGGGAGTGAGAGAGCAGCTGGATCTGGCCATCAGCCAAGATCAACCCCCCACAGAACGTTAAGACATACTATTTTCCATTATTACTGAACATTATTATTCAGAAAATAACAAATTTGAGAGAGTGTGTGTTAAAAACAGGACGTATTTTCTTTCTCCTCTTGGTGACTTGTGAATTTGTAGTGGAGATGTCAAAAGATGAATATAGACTGAAACACTTTGAATTCCCAAATGCAGCTGGATGTAATCCTGAGTAGGTTAGTTCATTTGTCTAGGTCTTTTACATATAATGCTCAATCATGTACAGACGGAAACTTATTTTGAATTCCAGCTCAGTAGCTGCTTAACAAATGTTATACTGGAGGAAGTACTCAGCACTAAATGAGACACAAATGCATGACTACCATTAAATATGGCTAGTATTAACACGAAGAGACAGAAACAGGCAAATGAGTATAACATTTGTAGGCAGGACATGAACTATGAAAAGAAATCAGCTAATTTTATCTGATTTCCTCTTACACTCTTGTAGTATATGTTGAATATGAGACCTGCTACTTCTTACGATTTTTTTTCTCTTAACTTTCTTCACATTGTTGTATATTTTCAGACTATCTCTTCCATTCACCGTCACTCGTTGACTCCTGTGACTGAATCTTATCATGGGAGTCAAATAATATTTTCTAACAGAAAGACTAAGTATAAAGCATCAAGAACTACACTGCATTTTTCTTTCCTCCAGTATATGATTTTCCAAAGGGTAATTTGCTTGACTCATCATCCCCTTTTCTCTCTCTGAAGTTGAGCACAGAGAACAAGTCTCAAATCTGGGAAGAGAATGAATGCACCACAGAAGGACCCATCTGGCCACAGCTCCTTTTACAATTTATATTCAAGTTGTCCTGGAAGCCACATAAATCTTGAGTTCCTTGTCAACTAATAGAGGGTCTGGAAATAGCCATGTTATTGAAATCTGAATTACTTCACTCAGGACCATATGATATATTAATGCATTACCTGGAAGCATTTAAAATAACAAATTTGGGGAAGTTATTCAGTTGTATTTTATAGGGCTAAGAAAAACAGAGAAAATTGAAATTTTGATTTAATAAGAAAACACACATCTAAATAACATCATACATTGCAATCATTTCCTAGAATTCTTTTTTCATAGATATGAAACTGTTTTCTAACCAATAATTAAACAACTTTGCATGGGTTTAAGTGCTTTGGATGCCCACCTGTGTGACCTACTGTAGAGAACCTGCTTTAGAAGTGGGGCTGGACTCGATTACCTCCAGAGGTCCCTTTCTAACCCCTATAATCCTGTGATTCTACTTTACTCATTCCCTGTGTCTTAAAATATTTCTTGTTGCAAATTAATTAAGACAAACTGCTTAGTAGTTTAGAGTCAGCCTTTATAATATTCTATAATGAGGACCACATCTGTCTTCACTGCCATTTTTATATCCTCAACTTGGGTTAAATAACCCGTCAGTGGCATAAGATAGTTCTCAAGTGTGCAAACCTTAGTTCAGTAACTTCATGCCAGCTGAGTGCGTGTGGCCCTCAGTCATTCAAACAATCTGCACAAGTTAACAAAAATAACGTAAAGCAGATTAAGTGTATGGAGTAACTGAGTCAGCAGAATAAACAGGCATTACAATTGTGACTGAGCCACTGCAACACGAATTGTGGTTACAGTGCATTATTTCTCCTCCCTCACAATTACAAGAAAGCATCTGTACTAAAATTCTCCACTTCGATTGCTGGTAGTCACTTTCACTGTCTAAAATATATTTCCCAGTTTTTGATCTCCGCTGAAATTCCTTCATATACCCTTCATACAAAGCTTTCTTCATGAAACAAATAACAGATGAAATTATAGCCTTATTTAAAGTGAACCGAAGAAAGAAGATGTTCAGCACTCTAATTACATCACACAGTACTTGTTCCACATTTTGGTTTCCTCTTCCTCAGCATTCATCTCAATGTCAATTTCTACTGCCATTACGTCTACTTTATACCTGGTACTATTTCTCTCCTTACTCCCCATATGTATT